GATAGACGGTGATGCACAATGCACACATCAACCAGATATGAGTGTGCAACATAGGCACCTCAACCTGGTCTGACCACAACCTAGTTACGCTAACTATATCAGACCAATACAATTACAAAAATAGAAGCCCCTGGAGGCTGAACGAGCAGCTATTCAACGACACACAATTTGTGACCTCCCTCCAAAGCGAACTGCAAAGGTACTTCACAACAAACGATACCTCGGACACAATCGCACACACACTCTGGCTAGTGCACCAACTGGTGATCAGGGGCTTGCTGATTCGTAGAGCATCCTACCTCAAGAAAACAAAATCACACATTATTGATACAACACCTTAAACTACTCCACGACCTGCACCGCTCCAACCAACTAACACCATACAAAACGAATAACTGAGGTACAAGCAAAAATCAATGCTATACACCTCTAAAGAGCGAGTTTCACCATAAAGAAGCTCAAAGCAACTTCGTAAATACTGGGCAACAAAGCGACAAAGGTACTAGCCCAGAGACTGCACGACAGACAAACGCAGGCCAAAATCCCATTTCTCCAGACTGGGGCGGGTCGCAAGGTAATACAACCGAAACACATTTGTCAGGAATTCGTCCAATACTACAGCTCCCTGTATAACTTGAAGGACCATAAAGAGACTCCACAACCCACACTCCCCAACATCAACTCATACCTCGATAAACTCAACCTGCCCTCCCTGCAGGAACCACAAATCATACAACTAACAAGCCCCATTACGGAAGCAGAAATAGTACAACACATAGAAGCAATGTCCAATGGCAAGGCCCCTGACCCGGACGGCCTCACCAATATCTACTACTCCACATTCAAGCACACGTTAGCCCGCCACCTCTCCAAATTCTTCAATGAGGCAACCCTGGCGGGTTCCTTCACGAGGGACTTTCTCTCAGCCCACGTCATAACTCTCCCTAGACCAGGCAAATCCCCGACTGTGTGTCAAAACTTTAGGACAATCTCCCTATTAAACGCTGATGCTAAACTATATGCAAAAATATTCGCAGACAGGATAAAATTAATTCTCCCGAACCTGATACACACAGACCAAGTGGGGCTTGTGGCGGGTAGACAAGGCCCAGACAACACGGGGAAGGTGTTGGACATTTATAGACAACTCAGCGGACCGGGACAGGGGGGCATCCTCCCCTCTCTCGATGCTGAGAAATCTTTTGACAGACTAAACTGACACTTCCTGAACGAGGTATTGAGCAGGTATGGCTTCCTAGCTCGTTTTCCTATCAGTAATAAAAGCCCTATACAGCAACCCCACAGCAACTGTGCTGTACTCAGGATTCTGCTCCGAACCATTCGCTATCTCAAATGGAACCCGCCAGGGTTGCCCACTATCCCACTCCTCTGCGTACTGGCCCTTGAACCCCTGGCCATGGCTATTAGGCAAAATACCGACATACACGGAATAACCATAGGGCAAAGAGAGTACATGCTAAATCTGTTTGCGGATGACATCCTCTTGACGCTCACACAACCACTTACTATACTCCCGAATCTACATAAAGAGCTTCAGATAAACAACCTCCAATCATACTACCAGCTCATTAACACGCCAAAGGCGTTAGAGGAGAGGCCAAAGAAATACGACTGGAGAGACGATTATTTGACTTTCCTTGGGGTGAAAATAAGCAAACAAGAAGGGGACTTATTCCCCATGAACTACCAGAAACTCTACAAAGAGGTGGAGCAACTACTCCACTCCTGGCAGCCCAAGTTCTTCTCATGGCTGGGGAGGATAGCAGCCATAAAAATGACTGTTCTACCCAAAATCCTATATTTGTTCCGTTCGCTGCAAATCCAAATATCCAACTCGTTCCCGAATCACCTCCAATCACTACTCCTCAAATTTAGCTGGGGATGGAAACACCCTAGTGTCCCAAGAGACCTACTATCGCAACGGATTGAGAGCGGAGGATTGGGCTTCCCTAACCTAAAAGCCTACTACCATGCAGCACATCTCACATACATAATAGGGGCCCCCACTATATACGCACCCCAATGGATAGAAATAGAACGACAGTGCTGAGGCGTAACAGACCTCACAGCAGCAATTTGGACCCCAAAACACCTAAGAGAGGTTTTTGCCAAACACACTCCCAACCACCCGCCTAATGCTCAAGTTATGGGACTTCCACAGACAGAAAGTGTGTACAGCACACACCTGGCCCATTACACACATTCTATCTTTGTAACAAAATGTTCCCTACCGCTCTTGGCAACAGCAGGGTCTCTCCCATCTACACCAATTATACAACAAGCACAGCCTTCACCCCTTTCCAGAGCTCCAAGCAGAATACTCACTCCCAACCAGACTCACATTCTCATACCTACAACTAAAAGCGCTCATAGTTACACATGACTTGAGGACCGCTACACCAAACACAACCACAGCGATAACCACCTTCGAACAGATGTTCACGACCGACACAAAAAACATTTTCAACGTGTTACAAACAAATCACGACAAGTCAGGAGAACACAACATGGAAGTTCATGACAGCTTGGCAGGCAGATATTGAACACACTCTAACAGATAAAGACTGTGGGAAAATATTTCGTGTGCGTCACACCTGGAGACATCCTGTAAACTATTGTACCGCTGGTACATGGTCTCCACGCGTCTACACAAAATATATCCTGCAGTGAGCGATCTCTGCTGGAGGTGTCAGGGACAAAGGGGAACAATGCTCCATTAATGGTGGACCTGTAGTAGAGTACAACCATTGTGGACTGAAATAGCCTAGTTAATTAAAGGAGCAACAGGATACGCTCTAGACCAGGGGTAGGCAACCTACGGCACTAGTGCCATGTACGGCACTCGAGGTGTCTTTGCACGGCACTCAAGGCTGCTAGAGCCAAACAGGCTCCGGCCTATCAGGAGTCCCAGTAAAACTTCAGATATCTGCTAATACGAAGAGGTGGGGAAGGACAATCCTCAATTTATGCATTGCAGCACATAGAGGAAGTGATCTCAGATCACTTCCTCACAGCACTTGTGAATGGGAATCCACACTGTAGTAGAGCAGCCCACAGCGGATATTGCAGCTCCTGTCCTTGACCTGTAACTGGCCAACCTGGTCCCCACTGGAACCCAGGGAATCCACCCACACTGCTAGATATACACAGAAATGCAGAATAACAGCCCACACACAATCCTCACAAACGCAACACCACTAACAATCCACACACATGCACACAACCCCACATGCAGGCTCTCACATGCAATATCCCAAACAGCCCCCAGACACTACCAAACACACAATGTGACATATCCATCCACACACAATTCCACAAGCAGCACTCATACACAGCCCACATTCATAGGTGTCATACACGATACCATAAACTACTCATGAACATATGCAATGTAATAGCTCATAGACGCACAAATACAACGATACAAAGCAATTACAGTAAAAATAACACAAGCAGAATACGGCAGCATACACACCTCAATTTAAAAAAAAATAGGATCGGCACGCTATGGGACATCACAATCCTATATCGGCACAGTGCTGCTAAAAGGTTGCCTACCCCTGCTCTAGACCATACACCGGAAGCATTCTTACTCAAACTATTCCCTCATGGGATGCTCAGAACCACAGTAAAACTAACATATATCATACTGAATACAGTGTCCACACTTATAGCTAAATATTGGAAAACCCCATCCTTGCCCACCTCCAAAGAAATAACAACCACGGTGACAACCACACTGGATGAAGTGCTGATGTGGAATCAGGCGAAAATAGGAAAGATAAGCCATACAGCACACAGAATTTGGAAAGAATTCCAACAATCCCTCAACACCACCCAATGGGTGTAGGAAAAACAAAACAAAACCAATGCTGCAGTCTTCCAGTTCTTACCTCTCCCCCTAACTCAATGCACCCCTGTTATGTTTCAGGTGCACCTCCCCACCTTCACTAAACCCCGACAATGCCCAAGACTTGTCAAATGGAGCAGCAGAAACCTTGACCTGCACCCAAGTACAACTGATCTGGGGCTCTGCACTCAACAATGAGTTGAAGGAGGAGATGACATCCTCCACATCACTCCCTAACCCCTACAGCAACTAACAGTTCCCCCTACCCTACAGACTAAGGAGACTAGGGGGCCCACATGGAACCACTTTCCACCCTCTCCAACCACACACCCAATAACACTGGGGCCACAGGCCACAACAGGGCCCACCCCGGATCCAAACCAACCGCCAGTTTACTGCACACCGCCCAGAAGTGGCCACCCCTACATGCACCCGGGAGCTCAAACATGTATAAAGACAATAGAGGGAAATGGCACAACAAACCTTTGTCATCGCTGTAACCTCACACTTAGATACTGTTTGTCTCAATATACTTTGTACTGGGTGGCAAGACCACGAATCATGCCGTGGGAGGTAGCTCGAGGTACTATGTATCACGACTGACAAAAAAATAAATAAAATAAAAAAAACTTTAAAAGCATATGTCTGTACCAAGTCTTAACCTTACTCCCCCTCCCCTTTTTCTTCTGTACCCTGTGATTTTAAAAATCGACAAAATAAAAATTGCCAAATTGAAAAAAAAGTGAATTTAAAATGTAAAGGGACACTATAGTCACCAGAACAACTACAGCTTATTGAATTTGTTCTGGTGAGTAGAATCATTACCTTCTGGCTTTTTGCTGTAAACACTGTCTTTTCAGAGAAAATGCAGTGTTTTCATTACAGCTTAGTAATAACTCCACTGGCCACTCCTCAGATGGCTGCTACAGGAGCTTCCTGGGGCAGTGCTGCACAGTGTGACTGACATTCATTGTCTCCGCCCTCTGCAGGCAGACACTGAACTTTGCTCTTAGAGATGCATTGATTCAATGTACCTTTGGTCCGTTATCTGACGCTGGACGTCCTCACACTCTGCATCAGGGAACCTCTAGTGTCAGATTTTCCACATAGGAAAGCATTGTCGCCCATGCACATTAGGTCTGACGTTGGCGGGGGAGGAGTGTGGAAGGAGCCTGACCCAGCGCTGAGGGTTCTGGTAAGAGGCTGAAGGGGTTTTAACACCTTCAGGCCCATGGGAGAGGAGGGCGCGAGGGAGGGGGGCACCTATTAAACCTATAATGCCAGGAAAACTGATTTGTTTTCCTGGCACTATAGGAGCCCTTTAAATTCTGGCCCACTTTATGCTCACGGACTACAATTCCCAGAGTTCTTAAAATGCAATGAGCGTTGTAGTTCAGCAACGTCGTTGGGGGAAGGGCAGAATTTGAGATGCCGGATAGAAATGTGTGTGTTAATAATTTCAGTAAATGAAGTCGTGTTTGGACACAGCCCATGTTAGTGACATCACGCAGTCTGTTAATGTCCGTACACACAGATCTAGGATCCCTGTATAAACTAGTATTAAAAGCTTCATGCGAGAGATCAGTAACAAAGCTGTTTGTACGTTTTATAAAGCGTGACTGTTTATTTTTGGAGCAGATTATAAATTCCAGATTTAGTGCTGTTAAAAAATAAATAAATGTTGGGTTAGAACATGAATAGTGCTTTTCTTTGTCGTAATACATAAAAAATTTTTTTTTAATTTTAGATAACGTTTGCAGAAATTTCAACGTACTCACAGGGTAATTTTACTAAACTCTAGTGAATTTAAATTAAAGGTGCACAACTCAGACTAAAACAGCTGATATGGAAAAATTCTCCAACTCGGATATAGGCTCCGCTTGACTAGTTTAGCCTCTAGTTTGCGTAAGGATTTTAGTTGGATACAGATTGACGTTTAGTGAATAAGACTCACAACTTTTTGCCACTGAGATCAATTCACTGCATTTCAAAGTTGAGTGAATTAGCCAGTCAGACCAGGGGGTTATTTACTAGAATGAGAGTTCAAGGCCAGAGTAGCCATACTTAAAGCACAGCTGATATATAGTGTTGTTCCAGTTTGGCTACTTTGATCTTGAACTTGGAATTCACCTTAAACCAGGGGCTCTCAACCCAGTCCCCAAGGACCCCCCTAACTGTCCAGGATTTAGGGATTGCCCTGCTGTGTCTAATGTGTTTTTAGGGGGGAGGGGGGAGACAAACACTTTAGACACAGCAGGGTAATCCCTAAATCCTGGACAGTTAGGGGGGTCCTTGAGGACTGGGTTGAGAATCCATGCCTTAAACTCTCATGTTAGTAAATAAGCCAGTAATTGGTGATTTCATGGACTCGTCTGGGGAGAGATCAGTAACAAAGCTGCTTTGACAGCTACAATAAGGATATTCTAGTCCTGGGGAAAACTGGAAAAGCCAGATTTTGTACTGTTTTTACAGTGAGATTTTGAGAACGCGTGCAGTTATTCAGTGTTTGTTTCGTTTTTATCCTAGACACATAAAAATACATTTCTTATATTTCACAAACACTTTTTTTATTTTTCATTTTTCTTTTGTATGCAAAACCCACTAGATAAGATTTTCACATATATACAAAATATTTATTGACACTGATTTTAAAACCAGCTTCTTATCACTAAATAGAACTAAATGTTCTATGAAACTATAAGTAATAATTCTTTAGCGTTTTAACCTCCACATTCCATAGCTAGGTATGAGCTGCGTTTACTGGGTGAATAGGATAGGAAAGTGCCCATTGTGGTGAGCTGGTAGTAATTGTTTGATGTTTGGGGTATTTTCCCTAATTACAGCTCCTACTTCATAGCCCCATGGCTTGTTTGTGAGCTCAGCAGTGCTACCTGGCCTGTGTCATGAGGCCTGTGGTCCAGGCAGATTATTGTTGGTGATCCTGGTAAGATGGAAAGTCAGGAGCATATCACAGTGCAAGTACTGAGCCGGTTCTGAAGATTTCACAGAGTTCCCAGTGTGCGGGATCCACGATTAAGGTAAATCTGTCCTATATACAATGTAATATGTGAATGACAATGTTTTCTGTAGAGGAAGGTGGGGGTCAATTAAAGGTGCGTCCACAGCACCCAGACAGGTTGGGTGCACAGAATTATTCATTGATATTCAGGGTTATTTGCTACAGTGAAAGTGTAACCCCTTAAGGACACATGACGTGTGACATGTCATGATTCCCTTTTATTCCAGAAGTTTGGTCCTTAAGGGGTTAAAGGGAGTTTTACATTTTAGACCATAATAGCCAAACCGAGAGAATAGCTGAATTAAAGAATTAATCCATTTCAACTATTTTGCCCTTAAACCTGAAATTCACTGTAACTCTTTCCTTACCTGCATTAGCAAGAAGTAAAATCTGGGCAGTGGCTACATTCATCTTTGATGCTAACAGGGGGTCTGAGTTTCCACCAAAATCTGGAGATCGGAATGTCTTGCTGTAATCCACGACTTGACAAATCTGTTTAGAATCTAGAAGCCAGATAAAAACGTTAGGAGACAGGTTTTGTTTATGAATGAAGAAACCTTTATTTTCAACGACAAAAATACAATTCTTAAAGGGACACTATAGTCACCAGAACAACTACAGGTCTCTATAGCCTGTGCCTGCAGGCTTTTTAATGTAAATACTGCCTAGTAACACCTCTAGTGACTGCCACTCAGACGGCCACTAGAGGTGCTTCCTGTGTTCGTGCTGCACAGTGTAGAGTACTGGCGTTCAGCGTATCCATGCGCTGCATGGAGGCGCTGAATGTTCCGCATACAGATGCATGGATTCAATGCATTTCTATGAGGAGATGTGCGGAAAATGTTGCACATGCTCAATAGCCTCCCAATCAATGCTAATGGTAAAGCATGGATTGGCTGAGATCATACGAAAAGGATTATCTCAACCATGGAGGTGGGGCCAGCCACGGCGAGACCAGCACCTTTGCTATGCGATGGGAGGGGGGTGCGGTCACCTAAACCAGCATCACTGACACACACACACTGATTTGACACACACTCACTGACAGACACACACAGATTCACAGACAGACAGACACACACTCACTGAAAGACACACTCACAAATTACCATTTGTTTTTTTATTTAAGTCCATCCAACGTCCCTATCTTTGGGAGAGCTGGCGTGGAACCTTTCTCTGAGGTCCAGTTTGGTTGCTGAAATCTTCTAGCTCTTCTCACTCGCCCACCATTTAGTGATGCCGGGACCGGAGTAGCATCATATATTGGCATCACATCAGTGGCTTTCTCGCTGCCTGCCTCCATTCTCCCTCAGCCGGCCACCTCAGGGTGTGCGCGGGGGCTGATTCTGTAACCGCTGATTGTGCTGAACACCCGGGGCGCATCCAACCCTACTTAACACCAGATGCGACTAAGGTGCTGGTCCATTCCACTGTCCTTTCTCGCCTTGACTACTGTAATCCACTTCTCAAAGGTCTTGCGTGCTCCCAACTTGCACCATTACAGACCATAATGAATGCGACGGCGATGCTCATCTTCCTTCCCTCCCGCACCGCCCACGCCTCACCCTTCTGTCAGTTCCTACATTGGCTTCCTGTAAGATATAGAGCTCAATTTAAAATTCTGGTTCTTGCTTTCAAATCTCTACATAATGCTGCTCCCACCTATCTATCCTCCCTAATACACAAGTATGTCCTGTCTAGGCCCCTACGCTCTGCTGAAGACTTACGTCTATCTTCTGTCCGTACTCCCATCTCTGATGCTCGACTTCAAGATTTCTCGAGGGCTGCTCCGTTCCTGTGGAACTCGCTTCCCTCCTCCGTTAGATGCTCACCCAGTCTCCACTCCTTCACAAAATCATTAAAAACCCACTTCTTCATTAAAGCGTATCCAATAAACTGTTAATAGCTCCCCACTGATTCCTCTCTTGCAACTGTCATTAGTCTAATACTATCCTTACCTTTTTGTGTCATTTTACCCCACTCCCTCTAGCATGTAAGCTCATTGAGCAGGGCCCTCAACCTCTCTGTTCCTGTGTGTCCAACTTGTCTGGTTACAACTACATGTCTGTTCATCCACCCACTGTAAAGCGCTGCGGAATTTGTTGGCGCTATATAAATAATAATAATGATAGGACAAAATTCTTAGTAGCCATGGCGACCTGGCGCCTGGGATTTGTCGAAACTTGCTGTAATCTGTACCTTCACTTCGTATGATTGCATATGAAGAACCCCAGCCCACTGAGTAGATGGGGATCACACTCTCAAACACAGATAGTAAATTCAATATATTTAATTAACATTAAAAACACAATTGCAAATGAACATAAACAGTGCAAAATAATAGATAGCTTATGATAAACTCTACTACTGTAATGCCTCAGTCCTTTGTAGTTTCTGCCAAAAAACAATCACCGTCTGTATATGACCAGCTAAAAAAAAAAAACACCCACCAATAGTTCTAGTAAATGTGTCCCACAAGATGGTCGGTGCCCTTGGTGCTTGATGCTACCCCGATGGAGTTTACGTTGCTGATGTCAGTAAAACTCACTCAGACTCTTAAATAAACCTCACTTACTGGATACAAGTCTAATCGTTTCCATTATTCCAGTCACTCAGTAAGGAGGAGATTACACACGTCACTGAGGATAACTCTTGCTCACCAGATTGCTGGATCTTCAATGTAGCTCTCCTCTGCTGGTAATTAGTAAAATACTTGAAGTAGACACTGGAAACAGCAGTTACAGCTCTCATAATGTGTATCTCTGCAGATCAGGAAACTCGTTGGTACAGGGTGATCCTCAGAGCTGTTGTACTTCCTATACTGTATATCTCTGAAGATCAGGGAAACTCGTTGGTACAGGGTGATTGTCAGAGCTGCTGGACCTCCTATACTGTGTGTGCCTGCAGATGAGGGAAACTTGTTGGTACAGGGTTGTGATGGACCGCTTAGCCCTCCCCCCCCCGACCGGGTGCCTCCACCAATCGATGCTCCTAGTGCTCACCGTGGACTCCAAGCACTCCACCAGACACCATCAGCACCCACGTCCAGCGTTAAAGCGTGGCTGGGAACTTGCCGTCTTCCACCCACCCTGAACCCAAGACCAGGATCCAGCTTCCAGTGGGTGAACCTCTCCTACTCCAGAGAGTATAGCAGGAAAAGCTCTTATAAGAGCTAGTGATTATAATCCCAGGGGAATATAGTGATATAGCAATCCCCAGGGTAGGTACAGCTGATTCTCCCACACATGAGACAAGGCTCTATGTTGAGGATAAGCAGGAGCTCATTTTAATTGGACCACACTTGGTCTTTTATGACAATCCCCATGCAAGGGGTACTCCCACTTGGACCTGATGGAAGACTGAATTACAAAGTCACAGACCAATGACAACAGTGTTACAATACATGACACTCCCATACATAAGCGGATAATCCCTCCTCTGTGCCCGGAAGCTAATCTGATCAGGAACTGTACTAATCTAATCCAAAAGTTACATCCCCTCATAGCCCTGATCTGGGTGACCAACACATCCACAAATCACCCAGATCAGTTCAGGGGTTCAGGAATTTCCTGGAAGTAATTTATTTGACCGACCGCACGCATATCCCTTGCCCAAAATAGTTCCAGAGAATCAGGGCTTTCGGTCGGTCTAGTTCAGTAGTTTAAAAACAAATAAACTACCGCACATAGTCAATGTACTTACCCTGGAGCTTGTTCCCCTGATCCAGGCAAACGATTCCACCGAACAGTGATATGTTTGTATAGAAACGAACGCAGGTGATTATGAAAGTCCAGAGGTGTTCAGGAGTTTTTGTGTCCGATTTTCAGTTCCATGAGAATTATGCCCAAACAAATTGCCGCCACCTCATGGTTGTCCATAGGAATTGTGGCCACCCAGACAAACAATTAGAACACTGCGGTGAGAAACGTTCCAAGTTGTTAATAGGTGTTAACAAGCTCCCGGGTGGTCCCTGGTTCGTGTGGTTGTTGGGTAGTCGAACGGGACAATGTTAAAATAGGAGGGGAGTGCAAACTACCAAACAGAATAGCCAAGAAGGCACGAACTCAGTCTTTTATGAGCCTTTGTGCATGGCCCATAGTCCTGAGGCAGGAGGCTGGCAAAAAAGACCCTCCTCAAAGCGGCTGTACTTCCTATACTTTGTTTCTCTGCAGATCAAGGAAACTCATTCGTACAGGGTGATTCTCAGAGCTGCTGTACTTCCTATACTGTGTGTCTCTGCAGATCAGGAAACTCGTTGGTACAGGGTGATCCTCAGAGCTGCTGTACTTCCTATACTGTGTGTCTCTGCAGATCAGGGAAACTCGTTGGTACAGGGTGACCCTCAGAGATGCTGTACTTCCTATACTGTGTGTCTCTGCAGATCAGGAAACTCGTTGGTACAGGGTGATCCTCATAGCTGCTGTACTTCCTATACTGTGTGTCTCTGCAGATCAGGAAACTCGTTGGTACAGGGTGATCCTCAGAGCTGCTGTACTTCCCATACTGTGTGTCTCTGCAGATCAGGAAACTCGTTGGTACAGGGTGATCCTCAGAGCTGCTGTACTTCCTATACTGTGTGTCTCTGCAGATCAGGGAAACTCGTTGGTACAGGGTGACCCTCAGAGATGCTGTACTTCCTATACTGTGTGTCTCTGCAGATCAGGAAACTCGTTGGTACAGGGTGATCCTCATAGCTGCTGTACTTCCTATACTGTGTGTCTCTGCAGATCAGGGAAACTCGTTGGTACAGGGTGATCCTCATAGCTGCTGTACTTCCCATACTGTGTGTCTCTGCAGATCAGGAAACTCGTTGGTACAGGGTGATCCTCAGAGCTGCGGTACTTCCTATACTGTGTGTCTCTGCAGATCAGGGAAACTCGTTGGTACAGGGTGACCCTCAGAGATGCTGTACTTCCTATACTGTGTGTCTCTGCAGATCAGGAAACTCGTTGGTACAGGGTGATCCTCAGAGCTGCTGTACTTCCTATACTGTGTATCTCTGCAGATGAGGAAACTCGTTGGTACAGGGTGAACCTCAGAGCTGCTGTACTTCCTATACTGTGTGTCTCTGCAGATCAGGAAACTCGTTGGTACAGGGTGATCCTCATAGCTGCTGTACTTCCTATACTGTGTGTCTCTGCAGATGAGGAAACTCGTTGGTACAGGGCGATCCTCAGAGCTGCTGTACTTCCTATACTGTGTGTCTCTGCAGATCAGGGAAACTCATTGGTACAGGGTGATCCTCAGAGCTGCTGTATTTCCTATACTGTGTGTCTCTGCAGATCAGGAAACTCGTTGGTACAGGGTGATCCTCAGAGCTGCTGTACTTCCTATCCTGTGTATCTCTGCAGATGAGGAAACTCGTTGGTACAGGGTGATCCTCAGAGCTGCTGTACTTCCTATACTGTGTATCTCTGCAGATCAGGAAACTCGTTGGTACAGGGTGATCCTCAGAGCTGCTGTACTTCCTATACTGTGTGTCTCTGCAGATCTGGAAACTCGTTGGTACAGGGTGATCCTCAGAGCTGCTGTACTTCCTATACTGTGTGTCTCTGCAGATCAGGAAACTCGTTGGTACAGGGTGATCCTCAGAGCTGCTGTACTTCCTATACTGTTTGTCTCTGCAGATCAGGGAAACTCGTTGGTAGAGGGTGATCCTCAGAGCTGCTGTACTTCATATACTGTGTATCTCTGCAGATGAGGAAACTCGTTGGTACAGGGTGATCCTCAGAGCTGCTGTACTTCCTATACTGTGTGTCTCTGCAGATCAGGAAACTCGTTGGTACAGGGTGATCCTCAGAGCTGCTGTACTTCCTATACTGTGTATCTCTGCAGATGAGGAAACTCGTTGGTACAGGGTGATCCTTAGAGCTGCTGTACTTCCTATACTGTGTGTCTCTGCAGATCAGGAAACCCGTTGGTACAGGGTGATTTTCAGAGCTGCTGTACTTCCTATACTGTGTGTCTCTGCAGATCAGGAAACTCGTTGGTACAGGGTGATCCTCAGAGCTGCTGTACTTCTTATACTGTGTATCTCTGCAGATGAGGAAACTCGTTGGTCCATGGTGACCCTCAGAGCTGCTGTACTTCCTATACTGTGTGTCTCTGCAGATCAGGAAACTCGTTGGTCCATGGTGATCCTCAGAGCTGCTGTACTTCATATACTGTGTGTCTCTGCAGATCAGGAAACTCGTTGGTACAGGGTGATCCTCAGAGCTGCTGTACTTCCTATACTGTGTATCTCAGCAGATCAGGAAACTCGTTGGTCCATGGTGACCCTCAGAGCTGCTGTACTTCCTATACTATGTGTCTCTGCAGATCAGGAAACTCGTTGGTACAGGGTGATCCTCAGAGCTGCTGTACTTCCTATACTATGTGTCTCTGCAGATCAGGAAACTCGTTGGTCCATGGTGATCCTCAGAGCTGCTGTACTTCCTATACTATGTGTCTCTGCAGATCAGGAAACTCGTTGGTACAGGGTGATTTTCAGAGCTGCTGTACTTCCTATACTATGTGTCTCTGCAGATCAGGAAACTCGTTGGTACAGGGTGATTTTCAGAGCTGCTGTACTTCCTATACTGTGTGTCTCTGCAGATCAGGAAACTCGTTGGTACAGGGTGATTTTCAGAGCTGCTGTACTTCCTATACTGTGTGTCTCTGCAGATCAGGAAACTCGTTGGTACAGGGTGATCCTCAGAGCTGGTGTACTTCCTATACTGTGTGTCTCTGCAGATCAGGAAACTCGTTGGTACAGGGTGATTTTCAGAGCTTTGTTATTTTTCTTTTGATGCTGGTCTGTCCCGGGGTGAAGGCCAGGACTTAGATTTTCTGCATTAAGAGAATTTTCTTTTACAGGATATGTTTGCTATGTTCCCAGTCTGTTCACAATTGAAACATTTAAACTCTTGCTTCTTCTATAATTGAGAAACACAAAAACCTTGGTTTGGCTTGTTCCTTTTTTTAGGCTTAGAGGAATGGGCTTTAGAATCCGTCCCCTTCTGATTTCCTGAAATGTGGATTTCTTTTCAATATCCTGCGGATGGGAGACACGCTCAATCTGTTTCTTTATGGCTTTTGCTTCCTTCATTGTTTTTGTGAAGTCCAATAATCCCCTGGCTCGTAGAAAACTGGTCAGCCCTGATCATGGTGCGACCATGAGGTAGCATTCCCCTTAAAACTTGTCTTCGCCTATACTCGGCAAATTGGTCTGAATAAATTATCCCTTTCTCAAACCGCTTTCCCAGCATTAATTCCAAGCTAGGTATGATGAAAGCTTTTCCTTCTCATGCCGAACAGTAGCCGTATATTGTAGGTGTTGCTCCTCTTCACATTCCTCTCCATAAGGATTGACTAGAGTTATCAAGATTTCATCTTACTAATAGATCATCTTACTAATTCATCATCTCGAATTCAAGCACAGATGATTTTAGACTCTCTCAAAGCTTCCTCAAATTGAAATGTTCCTCACCAGCTGGTACTGGCACCATAAAACAATCTTTAGTTGTTTGTAGTTATGTTCAGTGGATGGATGTCCTAACCACACTTTTGGCTAGTTGCTCCAAAACCTCTATTATGGAGAGACTCTTCTCATGCTTTGGTAATGTGGTCGCTGTCTTCTTCTTCACCTGGTATGAAGCAAAATATGTGTCTGGAGTCTTCCTCATCATCAGTGTCTTCATAAACCTAAATTAAGAGACTGGCCGGAATAGTGTGCCAGAATACTGTGTACACACGGTGCCGTATCCTTGGTTTAGGGGACCATAATCCCTTATAAGAGCTACAGCTAATCCTGCCTCGTTATGCTTCTGGGTCTGAATTAGAAGAAACCACTCCAGTCCATGTACCTGTCGGATGATGCCATCAAAATTCTTTCTCTCCAGTTTGAGAGGTATGTAACCTCTTCCTTATGTGCTTTTGTTAGAAGGGCAAGTATGGACAGCAGCTACATTAAACTGTGACTCTAACAGGAAGTCTGAGCTTTCGCCAAAATTTGGAGAACGAAACATCTTGCTGTAATAAGTGCCTCTACTCAGTGATTCTGCATACGGAGAACCTCCCCACTGAGTAGATAGGGATCCCACTCCTAATAACCACTCTCGAACATGATGTTAAATGAAATATATAAATGCAGATAATCTGTTGAATTGCCATAAACATACAATTGTAAATAAACAAAGACAGTGCAAAATAATGGCTAACTCAGGGCTCGACAAATCTCAGACACCAAGTTGCCATGGTGAATCTCAGTGATCTCAGCCAATACAATGCTTTCCCATAAGGAAACATTGGGGAGTTATTGCACATACGCAGCAAAACACAATGCTGAGCCAATCAGCAACACCTCATAGAGATACATTGAATCGATGCATTTCTATGGGGATCATTCAGCGTCTCCATGCAGAGTGTGGGGACGCTGAATGTAGGTGCTGCACATTGTGCACCACTGGACTAAGAGGGACTGCTCCTAGAGGTGTTACTAGGCAGCAATGTAAATACTGCATTTACCCTGAAAAGGCAGTGTTTATCTTAAAAAGCTGGCAGGGGCAGGTTATAGAAACCAGAACAATTAAAGTAAGCTGCAGTGTTTCTGGTGATTGTAGTGTCCCTTTAAGAATTATTATTGCCATTTATATAGCGCCAACAGATTCTGTATAGCTTTACAATATTATGAGAGGGGGGAGTTTAACTATAAATAAGACAATTACAAGAAAACTTACAGGAACGATAGGTTGAAGAGGACCCTGCTCAAACGAGCTTACAGTCTATAGGAGGTGAGGTATAAAAAAACGTTAGGACAGGAGATAGCAATCAAATTAGGTGGGAGTGAAGCAGAGCTGGAGGAGAGAGTAGAGTGCTGCCCTTTCGGAGAGAGCAAGAGATAGGTATTTAATGTTGAGGTTACTCTGGGAGGCCATAAGCTTTCCTAAAGAGATGGGTTTTAAGGCCCTTCTTAAACAATTGAAGACTAGGGTAGAGTCTGATGGCGGTAGGCAGGCTAATCCATAGGAAAGGAGCCGCCTGTGAGAGGTCCTGCAAGCGCGAGTTGGCCGTATGGGTGGGAGCAGCGATCAGGAGAAGGTCACAGGCAGAGCGGAGGGACCAAGAAGGGGCATACCTATGGATCAGTGAAGAGCTATAAGAGGGGCTAGAATTGTTCAGTGCTTTATAGTTTGGGTTAGCACTTTGAATTGACTCCTATGGGATACAGGAAGCCAGTGTAAGGACTGACAGAGGGGTGAGGTGTGAGAGGACCAACTAGAGAGGAAAATCAGTCTGGTGGCGGCATTCATTACAGACTGCAGCGGGGCAATACGGCTTTTGGGAAGATCAGGAGAGGGTTACAATAATCCATGCAGGAAATTACTAGCGCATGGACAAACTCATTGGTAGCATCTTGCATAAGAAAGGGACGGATGCTATGTTTTAAAGTTGAAATCTACAGGATTTGGCAACATACTGGATGTGAGTCTCAAAGGTGAGGCCAGAGTCAAGTATGACAGCAAGACAGCGCACGTGCAAGGATGGACTGACATGGGTACCACTCTCTTGAAGGGAGAGCGAAAGAGGAGAATCAGTATTAGGAGGAGGAAAGAGAAGGAGCTCAGTTTTAGAGAGATTTAATGGTATTTTTGTCATTGAAAATAATGTTTTTTTAGTTTAAAAAACCTGACTCCTTACATTTTAGCTGGCTCCTAGATTCCAAGCACATTTGTCAAACCATGAGCTAACTAATGATGGTCAGTGCTGCGGTACTGTCTCAGTCCTGTGTCGTTTTTTGTAGCACCATAAACACTGTCTGTATATGTTCCGCATACAACCCCCACCCAGCAATGGCAGCTGAGGTCTAACTCGGTCCCCAGAGCCTCGTTTGCTCAGTACACGGTCTATCAGGTTACAGGAAGGGAAGGCAAGGTGGTCACAGTACAGAAACTGTAGGATTACTTCAAATTCTCACTTTACTCAATAACCCTGATAGTATTTATTTTTCCAGGGATTTTAAAGCATATTTCTCATTTAGGGCCTAATTAGTCGAACTGAGAGCATAGCTGTGTTGGAGAATGTTTCCATGTGGATTATTTTGGCCTAATATATATTAAAATCTAAATGACAAAATTGAGGCTAAAGCAGTTGCTTATAAGGAATTCTGCAACACGCTGATGGTCACACTTTACTAGTTTAGCCCCGAATTTTGCTGTTCGTTCCGAGCTGGGGTTTAGTAAATAATCCTGTTTGAATTCCCAGCAATAAAGCCATGTGTAGGTTTGGTTACTCTTAGTTAAGCAGATTTGGTTGTTGTTTTAAAATAATTGGTTTTGCTCCATGTCGACCCTTTCCAGCTGACAGGATTAACTTCTATGTTCTTGTAATGCTGCTGTACATTATGTCTTTTTGGGGTTCCTGGGAGGTCTGGGGTACGTCAGGGGCCAACTGTAGTGGTTTTGATAGTTTAACCCTTTAAGCATGCTTGCGCTGTGCCATATATATAGAGCTTTTCAGCCCAAACGTGACAGCTTCAGCAGCCGGTATAGGCAGCACATTGTCCTTAACATTGTGTCATACAATATCATTTATAGTGCCAACATATTCTGCAGTGCTGTACAATAGGTAACCAAGACAGACACTAAATCCAAACAACACATGATTGACATACTGGAACAATAGGTGAAAAGGGCCCTGCCCAAATGTAATTACAAAGTAAAAGCACACGGACAGGTAATTAACATATCAGTTGTTGTCTGGAATATGAAGTGACGGAGTGACTTCAAGAATTTCCCAAACCCAGCTGTTGCTGCCTAAAATGTAAATTCACTTTGAATTCCTGACAATTCTCTGTAAAGTGTGAATTGTGGAGCATTCAATGGGACTGTCACGATAAAATAGCAGAACTACAAACAGAGCTGGCATTTTAAAAATCAAATTTGTCTATTTTGGGCCAAAATGTGAAAATCTCTTTGAATTCTCCACAATCCACACATTGTTGAAAATCCCTATTTTATAATATCCCTATATATAAAGGCTATTTTGTTAATGTGGAGCTACTGACAGGGTAAGAGGGTGCGATGGTGCTCTCAGCCTATTAGCGACGCCCCAGTCCGCGGTTTCCTAATTCAGGCCCCTGATACAAGTGTTAGAAGACGGGCAGCGCTGGATTCAACACGTTGGATTTAAACGTTTGGTTAATGGTTTGATTAATGGTCAAAAGGAAAGAAGGTGTGGGACATCCTGGCACCATAACAACTTAACTCCTATAACGTTGTAGTATTATCACACCGCCTTCCTTTAGAGTTAAAGTTTTAGTCTCTAAGGTTATCCTTAAAGAACCCTTATCCCAAAATGCTGTTAGTGCAATAAAAATGTGTGTGTGTTTTATTATATAAATATTAATGTATCCTCCCAACCTGGCTGTCTCTTTCCCCCTGTGTGAGAGTGCACCACCCATGTGTCCCCCAGCCTGGCTGTCTCTTCCCCCCTGTGTGTGAGGTTGTCTATTTATGTGTCCCCCAGCCTGGCTGTCTCTTTCCCCCTGTGTGTGAGGTTGTCTATTTATGTGTCCCCCAGCCTGGCTGTCTCTTCCCCCCTGTGTGTGAGGGTGTCTATGTGTCCCCCAGCCTGGCTGTCTCTTTCCCCCTGTGTGAGAGTGCACCACCCATGTGTCCCCCAGCCTGGCTGTCTCTTCCCCCCTGTGTGTGAGGGTGTCTATTTATGTGTCCCTCAGCCTGGCTGTCTCTTTCCAACTGTGTGAGAGTGCATCAGCTATGTCCCCACAGCCTGGTTGTCTCTTTCTGTGTGAGAGTGCATCAGCTATGTGTGCCCCAACCTGGCTGTCTCTCTCTGTGTGAGAGTGCATCACCCATGTGACTCCCAGCCTTGCTGTCTCTTTCCCCCTGTGTGTGAGGGTGTCTATTTATGTGTCCCCCAGCCTGGCTGTCTCTTTCCCCCCTGTGTGTGAGGGTGTCTATTTATATGTCCCCCAGCCTGGCTGTCTCTTTACCCCTTTGTGTGTGAGGGTGTCTATGTGTCCCCCAGCCTGGCTGTCTCTTTCCCCTTTTGTGTGTGGGGGTGTCTATTTATGTGTCCCCCAGCCTGGCTGTCTCTTTCCCCCTTTGTGTGTGAGGGTGTCTATTTATGTGTCCCCCAGCCTGGCTGTCTCTTTCCCCTTTTGTGTGTGGGGGTGTCTATTTATGTGTCCCCCAGCCTGGCTGTCTCTTTCCCCCTTTGTGTGTGAGGGTGTCTATTTATGTGTCCCCCAGCCTGGCTGTCTCTTTCCCCCTGTGTGTGAGGGTGTCTATTTATGTGTCCCCCAGCCTGGCTGTCTCTTCCCCCCTGTGTGTGAGGGTGTTTATTTATGTCCCCCCCAGCCTGGCTGTCTCTTTCCCCCTGTGTGTGTGAGGGTGTCTATTTTTATGTGTCCATCCTCTGTATCCCCACTCCCTAACCTGGTTGTCTCTTTGAGAGAGTGTATGAGTGTCTCCCCATCCTCCCCCTGTCACTGTCTGTCTCTCCCCTCCTCTAATGTCACCTTTCCCCTCCCTCTCTCAGCCTCTCTCCTCCCTCTCTCTGTAGGAAGTCCTCACTTTCCTCCCAGCTAAAGTTTTTGTAGAGAATAGAGGGTCTGGAGAGACAGCAACCAGTAAATGTGAAAGAGAGAGAGGGAGGCCTGGGAGAGAGTGCAGGCTGAGGAGGCAGACTGCCATCCCTGCAGCCACAAGATGAGACAGTCTGATACCCTGTGACTGCTCCACACAAGAAGAGACATCTTGAAAAGGTGATTTATAGCCTGACAAAGAGACTTCACTGGTGAGTAAGAGACAGTTCCTCCTTATAACAGCACCTTGTTTGTCACCTGGGTTAAATCAGACAGGGTGGGTCCTACATCATGGAATGGCCTCCCAGCAGAGGTGGTAGCAGTACAGAGACAGGGGGTATCCAGGACCCCAGCTGCTGTGTGAGACTGGGACACACTGGATCTCTTAGATTTATTTATAAAAACATGTTCTTTGGACAAGGTTCTAAAAGTGGAGCAGTTACCATGGAAACCAGTAGAATGATCTTGCTGATTGCTCCAGAATTGCACTTTGAACAGGACTGTCAGTGTGTGTTGTGATGTTGTGATGGTGCGCAGTTTGTTTACATTGGTGGAAATCCCCCATTACCTAAACGGCAGTCTTGAAAAAAGTTTCCACCACAATCCGCTCGGCCCGAAGCCTGTACGTGTAAATAATATAGCAGGATCCTTTCCACAGCCTCGTATACAGTACTAGTGTGGGGTTACTGTTACCATCCAGCCACTGTACCAACTCTCATTGCACTCAGCCAGCAAGTCTTCCACATTACGCTCTGCCATCCATTCACTGAACTTCAACCCTCATCATGCTGAGCAAGCCTTGTTGACTGTGGAGGGCCTTCTCCCATTCAGCCGTAAGCTGGCTTAGCATGATTAGGCCTGTGATCCAACATGCAGTGATACCCAGCCTTGCCCTGTGTTATTCTAAACAGCTTATTAAGCAGGAAGCCAGGACTGACGTAATGGTACCTCTCCCAAATTTCTCATCCACATCTGGTTCTTCTGGATGAGCCACGTCTATTGCAGAAATAGTAAAAACACACTGCCAGGCTGTCCGTCAGTCCACGGGAGATGCCCACACTTGTAAAGAGAGAGTCCAGTTATGGGATCATTTCTTATCGAATTAGGCTGCAAGCACGTCTTTTGTCCCAGACATAACAAAAATATACAACATGGCGATCGCAATTAAAGAATGAGTGGTGGGGATGTACAGGGCACATAGAACTATCTTCCTGAAGATATCTGGGGTAAAGAACCCAACAGCTGGGGCTTTAGTTACAGAGCCTGTAGCCCCCCATCCCCCGCCCCCAACACCCGAGAGGGCACAGCTGTGATTTTCAAGGTAAATGGCAAGATCGTTTTTGTAGTTTTTCATATCTTGTTCGGTATTCAGGCAGTCGGCGTTTCTTAGGTCTGAGTTGATTGAATGTGAAAACGTTGTACACAGTCACTGATTATTGAATGTTTCTCTTGGTGGAGCTAATTTAATTTTTTTTGTAAATTAACCAATCTCATATCAATTCTCCCAGAGTTAATAGGGCTGACTGGAGAGACATATCAGTGATGTGCCAGGCTCCAAAAGATTGATAAAACTGATTAAAAAATGAATCTACAAACAGTAAAAATAGAGGATTTTATTATAAAAGCGCCGCTCCTGATGACATTTGTGGCCGCGATTACCTGGCCGGTGTAAATAACAATTCCTGCCTGTAAATCCAGAATAAACTAAAATTGTAGCTTATTTTAGAAGACACTGTTGTTTCTATAGTCTTTATGTGGCTGATTATATCTCTGTTTTTGGTCCGTGTCTTCACCATCTCACAGGCCGGCCATGAAGTCCTGGGTTCTGCTCTGTCTGCTGGTCGGTGGCTACGTGGCGTACCTGCTCCTGGGGTCCCTGGTTGTATCCACCATTGAATCTCCGTACGAGCGCCAGTTGCGGAAGGACCTGGTTGATCGCAAGCAGCAGTTTCTGTCGGAGAGTTCTTGTGTTAATGAGACGGATCTGGAGGAGTTTTTGGCAAAGGTTATCAATGCCAACAAGTTTGGCGTCTCCATCTTAAACAATGCATCCAACGAAAGCAGATGGGACCTGGCATCATCTTTGTTCTTTTCCAGCACTTTGGTCACCACAGTGGGTAAGATCTGGTAACCTATGTTGGAACAAAGGGACCTAATGACAATGACAGTGACAGTTTAGTGGGTTAAAGGGACAGTCCCATGTAAGAGTAAAGTGACCTAATGACAGTGACATGTTTAATGGGTTAAAGGGACAGTCCCATGTAGGAGCACAGTGACCTAATGACAGTGGCCGTTTAATGGGTTAAAGGGACAGTCCCAGGTAAGACTTGTTTAATGGGTTTTAAAGTCCCTGTTACTTCTTAATAAAAAGATGATTTGCTCAACTTTTTTTTCTAGTGCCGCTTCCTTGCGGCTTGCCCCACTCTTGTTCCACTCCATGGCTGAAATTATCAAATTTGATGATCTCAGACAATCAAATGCTTTCAGGCTATTGCGCATGAGCAGCACAACACTGCATGGAGACAGTGAATGTTAGTGCTGCACACTGTGCAGCACTGAGATAGGAAGCACCTGTAGTGGCCGTCTGAGTGACTACCACATTAAGCTGTATACTGTATATTAAGCTGTATACTGTATATTAAGCTGTATACTGTATATTAAGCTGTATATTATACAGTAAGCTGTATACCGTACATTAACCTTTACATTAAGCTGTAAACTGTACATTAGGCTGTATACTGTACATTAAGCTGTACACTATACATTAAGCTGTATACTGTACATTAAGATGTATACCGTACATTAAGCTGTATACTATATATTAAGCTGTATACCGTACATTAAGCTGTACATTAAGCTGTATACTATACATTAAGCTGTAGATTTTCTGGTTACTACAGTGTCCCTTTAAAGTAGTATTTCTCACCTCTAATAGGTCACACTGTAAAGGCATTTATAGTTGTTAGTGTGATATAAATACTTTCACAATAAGAACTAAGCATGTCATTTTATTTATTTTCTATTTATGAATACTATTTCCCTGCGATTCCTGATGATGTGTTTTGTTGTAATTTAGAGGGTTGCACACTGGTTTTAATTGCTCCCCAGAGGTAAGGTTGGGGGGCTGCAGGGTCTGTTTTTCCTGCTCGGATTCCTGTTCTGGCAGGCGAGGGGTTTATTACGTATGGATATCCTGAAAACTTTGAGAGTATCCAACTCCTTTTCTGCAAAGAAAACGCAATCATGGTCGCTTGCTGGGAATTTTTCAGATATGTAAATATTGTGAGTACTTAAATCCTCGTGTCTCCCTTCGGGGCACAGAGAAATAGTAAGCTGTTTAGACTGTACACAAGGATTGGATTGAGAAACTAAAGAAGTGAACTGTAACACTTTATAAGAAATAAGAGGATCAGCAAACACAGCGCCGCGTGATATCCTGACATTTACGGAATAAAACCGTGACATGTCCCTCCCAGTGGGGCCTGGGGAAGTTTAAACATTGTGGGGAACTAGATTCTATCCTGAGAATTTCCCTCTGTACCCCAACTTTTTGGGCTCAGTAAATGTAACCGCATGTGTTCAACCCCTGACCCACTGAGACCTCCTCAAACTACGTTCTTAGAACCGGATTACCCTTAAGGAGGCGTTCGGGGCTGCATTGATGTGAAAAACAGAACAGGTTTGTCCCTCGTTGGCATCCTGATAATCTCCCACCGCGGACCCATTGCTAGCCTAGTAAGGTGGACTCTGGACACGGCAGTAATTACTATACTTTCAGTTATTATCCCCAGGAAGCTGGCTTCTAATCCTGCAAAGAAAATCAAATCTAGCTATTCTATCCAAATCGTAAAACTAGTCGTTAACTTTGCTTTTTTTTCTGTTGTTTAGCAGAAGTTCCATTTGCGTTTGCTTGGCAGCTGTCTTTCTATGGAGTGTTGCTAGGAATGAAAAGAAGCCACGTTGGTGACAGCAATGAATGCTTTGTTGCATTTAATGATCACTGATTCTCAGAGGCAAACTATGCTTTGTTTGGTTTAAGGTTACAGTTTGAGAAAGGTGTTTCCGCTTAAGGGCGTAGTCCATCTATCACCTGTATCCTCCTTACCTGGGGCTTAGTCAGTAGACCTGAGATAGAACTGGGAAATTGCAAATTCTAGGCCAAAGTTGTTGAACTTGGGGATTCTTTTCAGCCCTTTTTTTCATATAGGAAAAGTCAAAATAAATTAAAAAGATGCTCCCGTTAAATGTTCTGGCTGCTGGTAATCCATTGGGAAAATCCGGCATCGAGCCCCTCTATTACCAGGAAGAGGATCGACCAACCAGGAGCCTCTCCTACCTATTGCTCCTCCCCCTTAGAGTTTTATAAGGGAGTTCTTTGTATCCGTAGATTAGAACACAGAACAGTCTATCAGGGTCTAGCTTGGCGGAGGTGGGCTACGCTGGCAACCCAATGTATCAGATCCGTTAGGGCCATCTTGTACTTATGATTTTATTTTATTTGTGTCTGCTTCTTTCATAATATTATTTTATATATATAATTGTTTCTGAGTTTTGAAACAATAAACAAAAAAGAATAGTTCAGGTAATCCCTGGCATTGCACAGAAAGTACTCCCAATCCTTGAAAAGATCTGGATATTACGGAGAGTTTAGTGTATCAACACAGGATCAGTGCATCCTGTGATCAGTAAAACCTTGTCGCAGCGACACACGCACAGTGAATTATTTATGTGCCTGCCAGCAATGGTCAAATCGCACGAGGAATGCTAAATATCTTTATCCTGAGTGTATACGCAGCTCGTAACACAGGTATTCCCTCACTCAGGCCCTCAGCTAAATCAAAGTCAATTGTGTATGAACACAGCAAGTATGTCAAAACTATAGGCAGCCTTCAGAAATGGCATATTTAAAGGCAAAATGTCAAGTAAGAATTGATAAACACTTTGAGCGAATTTTATATGGAGAGGCTCTGACTCAGTTCAGACTGGTAACTGACCGTGCAAACCCTTCAACACTGGGCAAGTAAACAAAAACTGGGCAAGTAAACAAAAACTCCAAGTGCTATTTTATCGTGTGCTGCTGTGTTGAAGGACCAGTATACTTGCCCAGACCACTTTGTCTCAATGAAGTATTCCTGTTGCAGTGGTCCTGTCCCTTTAACTCTGCATTGGAGATAAAGCAATGTTTACATTCCAAGGTTAACGCCACCTCTAGTGCCTCCCTGCCATTAAAGGCGCTTCCCCTGTGAGAAACAAGTAAGACTTGGTTCTTTGACGTTCAACGTCCTCCCGTATTGCATGAGGATGGCATGACGACGTTAAATGTCCTCCGATGCTCCTTATACAGAAGCATTGGATTCAGCTTTCCCCTACGAGGAGTGAGATGCTTGCCGCGCATGCTCTTCTTGTTCATAATGCTTTTCTATGAGACGCATTGAATTGGATTACAAGTTGGAAGCATGATTGCCGACAAAAAGAAGGTGGAAGGAGAGTGGCTACAATGACAGTGTCTTGACATTGGAAACAAGGTAAATAATGGGTTATTAGCGTTAGATTTTTATATGGTGGGGTGGCAGGGGTCACTGGAGGATGCTATTTTTGGGAGTCTCCAGAGATCATGTCATGTCAGCAGCCAATCGGAGTTTGGGATTTGCACCGTTGTACTCAGCTTCCGCTGTGAAGAGATTTATTGTATTCTGTGATGAGTATGCCCAACATGCGCAAAGCAGTGCAAACAATCTGTAAAACTGCTGAATAGATTTTAAAGAGATCAATGTAAAGTATAGCTAGTGTTTTAAAGGGACACTATCACACGGTCGCATCTTTTTCTCTGTTTATATCACCTGTAGCGCCTCCAGGACGTCACGCTCAACAGGCATGTTCTAAGTGGTAGATAACGCATAATCAGTGACCGTCAATAAATGTCTTTATCGTGTAATCCTCCAGCGTTTGTGAGCTGGAAGAGTCAATAGTCTTCCCGTCTATTTTTTATATGTAACCAACTGAGCAATGGGAAATAGGAAGGGCACCTGGTAGGTTAGTATTAATTTGTGTTAAAGACCTGTGGGGATAGAATGTGTTTGGGTTATTCGCCTGACATGATTGTATAAATCAGGGGTAGGCAACCTTTTAGCAGCACTGTGCCGAAGGATTGTGATGTCCTGTAGTGTGCCGGTCCTATTTTTTTAAATTGAGGTGTGTATGTTGCTGTATTCTGCTTGTTATGTATACTGTAGTTGCTTTGTATCATTGTATTTGTGCGTATATGAGCTATTATATTGTATATGTTTATGAGTAGTTTGTGGTATTGTGGGGCTGTTTGGGGTATTGCATGTGAGAGGCTGCATGTGGGGCTGTGTGCATGTATGTGGATTGTCAGTGGTGTTCAGTTTGTGCGGATTGTGTGTATGTTTGTGTGTGGGCTGTTCGTGTTATTTGTATGAGGGGAGGGTTATTCTGCAGCTCTCTGTATATCTAGCAGTGTGGGGGGCTTCCCTGGGTTCCAGTGGGGACCAGGCTGGCCAGGTACAGCTCAAGGACAAGAGCTGCAATATCCGCTGTGGGCTGCTCTACTACAGTGTGGATTCCCATTCACAAGTGCTGGAATGAAGTGATCTGAGATAACTTCCTCTACGTGCTGCAATGCATAAATTAAGGATTTCCCTTCACCACCTTTTTGCATTAGCAGATATCTGAAGTTTACCTGGGACTCCTGATAGGCCAGAGTCTGTTTGGCTCCAGCAGCCCTGAGTGCCGTGCATGGCACTAGTGCCGTTGGTTGCCTACCCCTGGTATAGATTGTACAAAGTTACATAACATTTTGTTGATAATAAAAGTACACGAGTATGGGGATTGGCGAAGGCTGAAAAGCAAAATGCTGAAATCCTCCCCAAACTTTCTCACCCTCTTCCTAGACTAAGCCTGTTCCTAGTCTCACCCTGTTTCTACTCTCATCCCTTTCCTAGTCTCACCCCGTTCCTAATCTCACCCCGTTCCTAGTCTCACCCTGTTCCTAGTCTCACCCCGTTCCTAGTCTCACCCCTTTCCTAGCCTCACCCCTTTCCTAGACTTACCCCTTTCCTAGACTTACCCCTTTCCTAGTCTCACCCCTTTCCTAGTCTCACCCCGTTCCTAGCCTCACCCTGTTCCTATTCCTAGCCTCACCCTGTTCCTAGCCTCACCCCTTTCCTAGTCTCACCCCGTTCCTAGCCTCACCCCGTTCCTGTTCCTAGTCTCACCCTGTTCCTATCCTCACCCCGTTCCTAGCCTCACCCTGTTCCTATTCCTAGCCTCACCCTGTTCCTAGCCTCACCCTGTTCCTAGCCTCACCCCGTTCCTAGCCTCACCCCGTTCCTAGCTAGCCTCACCCCTTTCCTAGTCTCACCCCTTTCCTAGTCTCACCCTGTTCCTAGCCTCACCCCGTTCCTGTTCCTAGTCTCACCCCGTTCCTATCCTCACCCCGTTCCTAGCTAGTCTCACCCCGTTCCTAGCCTCACCCCATTCCTAGCCTCACCCCGTTCCTAGCCTCACCCCATTCCTGTTCCTAGCCTCACCCAGTTCCTAGCCTCACCCTGTTCCTATTCCTAGCCTCACCCCGTTCCTAGCCTCACCCCGTTCCTGTTCCTAGTCTCAACCCCGTTCCTAGCCTCACCCCGTTCCTAGCCTTACCCTGTTCCTGTTCCTAGCCTCACCCCGTTCCTAGCCTCACCCCGTTCCTAGCCTCACCCTGTTCCTAGCTAATCACTTATCAAGTGCTTAGATTTCCCGCAAAATATATAGTATTTCTAGAAAGATATCCTTTTTGTAAGTATGTCATGTTGTCGCAGGTAGTCGCTGTACCCTTTTTTTGGCTTGGCTTTGTACGTTGTGTTAACGGTGTGTTATTTGTGAAATGTGAGTACGTCCATAAAGCACAGCGATGGACAGTTTTGGTTCAGTAATTTCCATTGCTGTATGATGCTTAGACTCATTGTTTTCTTTCAGACTCACATTGTATGTTTCTGACTCGGCTATTTTAGCATCCGTTTCCCATGTCTGTGACTTACTACGTTGAGAACAGAACAGATTCTCAATTTCTGTACATTTAGCACAAATATCAGCCCCCCCTCCTCCAAGCAGCTCTGCAGGTGGGGTAGATAAATGGCGACAAATGAATGCACATACTGGATTCTTTACGCCGGGTATCAGGGTGGACTTTGAGGCAGAGTTGCGCCTGTTTGAACAAGCGTATCAGTTTAAGGGGAAGTGGTAGAATAGTTGCACAAGAGGTAAAAGTGCAATAGATTGACGTACGTGGCTTGTATCCAGAACGGAAGTAGTGAGGTATGTGATCTATATATAGCTCTATACATTTAAAAAGACAGACACAGAATATGGTAACACCCTGCTCCCATACCTGTTTCCTGTAGCTTTGTAACGGTCATACTCTTAGATACGTTCATTTAGGAGTTTATGGGACCTTTTAAAGAGTTTAACCCCCGTTTTGATGGGTTGTACAACCATTCATGTCGGATTGTTAACCAGGGGCATCAAAGGGAAGGCCGATAGTAAATAGCCATTAAGTCTGATTAATACAGGAACAAACCACTCTGTCTCCTTATCAGGAACTTCTAAACTAATATTTACATTTCTCACTAGACATCTGCTCGGGGTTCCTTTTCTGCTGATAATTGTCAATTTCTCACTGCCACCCTTTTCCATTTAAAGAGACACCCCAAGCACCATAACCACTTCCTTTCATTTGTTACAGCATATTCAGTGGTTATGGTGTCATGATGCAGCCCTTTTGATATTTGACAAATTCTTCTTTTTTTATATTTTTTCAGCAGTTTGACAAAAACAGGGGCTCTTCTAGCACACAAATCCCGTGCCCTTTGCTGCCGATGTGGGCGGTCTATTGATATTGTGTAGTGAGCATTATAGTGTAAATATTAGCTATACATGCCATAGCTAGCCACGTGTGTGGTCGGTGTATTAAATGACCACATGAAATGCTATAACCATGGAACCAGTTAAGAGGAGGTTGTTTTAATTAGAAATGGCCCTTATATCCTCTATTACCTGAACACAGCTACAGAGCTCTTTATTTGCAAACACACGGGTCTCGGCTAACGATACATTTTTCACTGTTGTCTTTTTTACATTTTTTTTTTTATCCAGGTTATGGTTACACCACGCCTCTATCTGACACCGGGAAAGCATTCTGCATCTTCTACGCCCTGGTGGGAGTCCCCTTCACCATGCTTGTCCTCAGTGCCGCAGTCCAGAGACTCATGGCAACCTTCACCCACAGACCAATCCATTATTTCCATGTGCATCGGGGCTACGACCGCAAGATGGTCACCAGAGTTCATTTATGTGTCTTGACAATGGTGGTGCTAATTTTCTTCCTCGTGATTCCATCCGCCATCTTTAACGCCATAGAGACAACTTGGACTTTCCTGGATGCATTCTACTTTTGCTTCATCTCGCTATGCACTATCGGGCTGGGAGACTACGTTCCTGGGGAGCAGAGTGATCAGTTTCTCCGGCAGCTCTACAAGGTGTCTGTCGCCTGTAAGTATGAACGAGGTGGTGTCATCGTAACTATAGATGGAGTCTCAGAACAAACATTTCTTAAAATCACTTTTTATGTTCCGTCATACAACAAGGAAGTGAGATACTAACAGGATCAGTCAGGCCTTTCCCACAATCCCCCTGTATATCTTGCTATTTAGCTTTTGCATGAAATAATTTTTTTTAGATTAATATATTAAAAAAAGGGCTATCAAAGGGAAAATACCTACAAAATGTAAACTTGAAAGGTTTTTTTTATGTGGCATCAGACGAGATCTGGTTCAATCTGTAACTTTACGCTCTACTCAAAGGTTTGACCTGAAAAAAAACACTAAGACCGAAGAGGAACCAAGTCATTTTTAAATGTGCTTCAGCAAGGAATCACATGCATAAATAGCCCATTGTCAGCACAGCATACACCACAACACTGTCCCTTACCCCAGTGAATGGTAAGAAGTCAGACTGTGTGTGCAGGAATTATAGAACGAGTCAGCAGAGAATCTGCAAACAGGAGGGTATGTAATGCACAGTGTTAAAAATAATCTAGAGAATCGCTGTATAAAGAAAGGCAGCCCTGCACTGGCAGCCAGATACATTGTGTTTCTTTAAAATCTGGTTTAAATCTCTTTGATAAAGATGATCAATTAGCCGATAAAACGTGATGTTGAAATATTCGAAGTTATGCCATCGCCAGTAATTACAATTTGGGAAGGTCAGAATGTGTTATTAATCAGAGTGGTATGCTATGAGTGTAGGATATTTTTTATTTTGCTGCTTTGTATACGCATGTAAACACAATGCCCTGAGAGGTCAACTTTTATTACTCTTATTTGTTCTGACTGCTTTTAAAGGGACAGTATAAGCACTTAATTTCAATGAAGTGGTCTGGGTGCAGTGTCCCAGCCACTATGCTAAACAGACCTCCTGTGGCTGTCAGGGTGTCTGATTGAGCTTCTGGGTCCAAAATGGTTCTTGACATTGGCATTGAATGAGGATGTTGGAATTTCTGCCAGTACAATGCCGTGTGCTTACTTCATACTGAGACCCTTTTCCAGGGAAAGATTGTGGTAATTGCTGGTATATGCCTTTTGCTCAGAATGCTCCTCTATTTTGTTTATATAATAAACTTTAGTGTTGTTATATTTACTAATCACAATTCTTTTTGTCTCTCTTTTTTCTTCTCCTGCTATTTTCTTTTACCATCATCTTCTATTTTGACAAACTTGTCCTGTTTTTGTTCATCTCTCATCTTTGTTCTTTCAACTAATACCGTTTCTCTTCTGCTTCCCAATTTTCTTATCCATTGACCCCCTCTTCCTGTTTTATCCTTCCACCAATCTCCTCAATGAATCACTTCCTCCATTTGCCTATCCTGCCTGTTCTTCCTGGCTGTAGTCTACCTCTTTCTTGGACTTTTGTCCATGTTGCTTTTCCTTCAGACGTTCCACAAGGCTGCTGATCTTCACGGACTCACGGACATGCTTTTCCTCCCTCGCTTGGCGGACCAAGAAGACCTGGAACCCATCTTGGAGACCGCAAATTCTTCTCTAACAGAAACTGAACCCAAGAGACCATTCAATACAGATACCCAACCTGGTTATGAATCCATCAATCGGTAACCTTGACTTCGAAGTGGCAGCCAGAACCAACCAATCTTCCAGTCGACCTTCCATCAGGTTTCTCTATTCATATACATTTCCCACGTTTATTTTGTCATTGAACCATCAGGGTAAAAGACTGGTTTGACCTTTCTCCGATATGAGATTAAATTGAACTTAAAGTTTAAGTGTTTTAGAAATAACATTTGCACTTATTTCCTAATGACACCTGGTGCTCTGCTTTAGCTACTCAGAAGGACCATTTGAAGGGGCTGTTCCACCTCAACTAATATACCTGTACACCATACAGTCCCTTAAACTCCGCTGGCTTTGTGGGTTGGTTTAAATGTAATGTCCATGAAACAGCGACTGCACTTTGATGTCTCTAAATGTCTTTTCTGTTGCAGCAAGCTTCATTTAGCACATTGCGTGAAAATGTCTCAGACAAACAGTTACAGACAGGTGACAATACACGCAGTGAGTTTTATCTATGTGTTAGATTCCCCTCTGCCTGTATTTTAACACCTGACAAACTGATCAGGTCCAGACAAAGCCAACTGGCTGCATGAGAACGTCTAAACCAGTATACGTTAATTCAGGTGCACAAATGGACCAGTTTTGTTTCAGGGTGTTTTTTTTTTTTTTTTTTTAAACAAAAACGTAAAAAAAATTAATTTAATGTTATTTTCAGTCTGAAATGGTTTTTCCTATTTAAATGTTACCTCTGCAACCTGCTCTGTAAATTTGACTAAGGTCATTCTTTTAAAAAACTTAATCATATGTAATTTCCTTTTTTATGTAAGCCAAATATATTCCTTTGCAAAATGTTTGCGGCTCCACCATACTATCCTATTTGGCACAGTCAGCCTAGTTCAGGATTACTGATTATCAAGATGGCAAGAATGTATTTCATTGTTTAAAGGGACAGTCACACGTAGGAGCAGAGTGACTTGTTGATGGGTGAAAGGGAAGGTCATCTGATGGAGAGGAGCTACGCAATGGCGTAGAATTATCAATTATGTTGTTTCAATGTTACTTGTTAAACTACTGGTCTAAATCTTGGTTAATTTATTGTGAGACCATCATCTTGAATCCAAGTTAATCTTTCTGATCACTTTAAAGACCCTGGGCACACTTTAAGCTGGGCTATTGGGTGTGGTGTTTTGGGAAACCGAGGGAGAGATCATGTGGAATTATTAGGGAAATCTGACCCCACCCGCCTGTTACTGTGCACTACAAATCCCATTATGCACAGTCAGCAACTGGATTAAGTATGTGAGTTCTTCTACTTTGGGAGTTGTAGAGCTGGTGTGGACGGCAAGATGATGTCAGAGCTTAATTCCGCTACTTACCTGAAAATTCCACGTAGCCCCCCGTGGTCTCCCAATATCCTACATGAGAGCACAAATAATTTTATGAATCTGGTCTTATACAATATTTATGATGAAATGTTCCTTGTTAAATTCATTGTTTTCATAGTAATATTAATTATTTATTTACATTTTAACACACAAAATGCATACTTTACAAAGCATTTGCGATCTAGAGTACCAAACCTTTTCTCTGCACAGTTTTTTTTTATTAACACAAATAAATATATTTATGAAAACCAGCTTCAGCCTGCACTTTTTGTATGATGTTTCTAGTTTATTTGTAGTAAAAAATGTTTTAGAAAAACAATCTTTAGATTTCTAAATAAATAGCCAATTCATGATGAGGCCTTTATACATGTATTTAGCATTGTCTCCTCCTGGTATGGAGATGGTAGGGTATGTCCTAAATGCTGTATTCGTTATATTAATCTGTAAAACACCAGATTTATTCATTATCCTGACCTGTGATCACGTGGGAAGAGGACACACCAGCTTTAGGGGAAGGTAGGCTTTTAAAAGAAGGAGGGGACTTTTCCACTTTGAATTTCTAACAATTTTCACTTTATTAAATGAAGCTGTAAGTATCACATTAGCTAAATCAAGATTAGGCTTAACATCACTCAGTGGAACGTAAACCAAAAAAAATATTGTCACATCAACCAATTGCAATTGATTCAGACAATGGGAAGGGGCCTCTCAAATATCAGAGTTCTTTAAAGGGATACTCCAAACACCATAACCACAAGAGCATGCTGGGGTGATTATGAAGCCATGAGAAGCAGTCAAACTGTTTCTGAATGTCCCCTGGGAGCCTGCGGGTTTTTTGTGATGATCTTGATAAATCACATACTCCTATACTGTGTCAGCTGGCGCTTTCATCCAATGAATGATGTTCATACTTTGATAAATCAGCCACTGTCCAGGGGACCCAGGTAAGAAACAGTATGACTCTTTACTCTAGGACAGCGTCATGGTACTCTGGACACCATAACCACTACATCAGGTTGTAGTTGTTCTGGGTACTTGCTTCCCTTTAATTTGAACATACCCTGGACATTGAAAGGGGATCCTGCATGCAACCTGTAAAAGTTCTGTATCCAGCCCAAAATACACTCCCATAAATACATATTTTTCCTGCAGTCAGCAGTGGAAGCTCACACCTTATCACACTTATAGCTGTGCCACATGAGGTTTTTTGTTGTAACAAATTACTAATAACTTTTTTTTAATCTTTTGTCAGCAGTAAGGAATATAACATTTTCAACTTGGAAGTTTTTTAATACATTTTAGGCCAGAATAATAAAATTGGAAAAATTCTCCAACTCTGGTATTATTCCAGATCGGCTAGCTTGGCCTGGAACTTTAAATTCACCCACATCTACTCCCAACGGTTCGTGGTTCATGAATAGCCCTGCCCAGAATCGCAGCGAGTGACAAGCTCACACTGAAACATTTAAAATTTTAAGGATTGAATCCAGATCAGGGTTTTACGAACACTGGCGTCTCCTCCACATGTGGCGAGACCCTTGGAGAATAAACAATTCCTTTCAGGGCTGACGTGTCTTCTCTCAAATTAAATTTGGACTTTCTTTGACTACTACTTAGAAATATTAGTACGGGTGTCTCTGCATCTCATTAATGCCCCTCGCAGTGCTCGTCAGTCAGATTGGGTGTCTCCGTAATTAATGGAGGATAAAGATTCACTATGTACATATAGTAATCACAACAGGCAAACAAAATCTCAACATGTTTTTTTCTTCTTTTTGAATGTTTTATTATAAAATTTTTTGCTTTAATGAACTGTTGGGAATTTATGTCAGTGCAAAAACTGTGGGTAATAATAGCTGGGTGCTCCAGACTGCCACATACACACGAATGGCTGATTGAGACGAGAGCTTATAATTAAACTCTATGGTCTAAATTCTATAAACTGGGAATCGACAAGGTAACTTGTCAGAGTATCATGGGAATTGTAGTTTTCAAATATATGGCATGCCAAGGTTCATCATTAGCCATTACCGGTCAACTCATAAAAACACAGATGATTCACTAATAAATCAATATTAAAATTCCGAGACATGAGCGACTACTAGCGATGCCTAACATTACTCACAGCAAAACACACAGAACATTGCGCACTGCTTTATGGTGCCTCTGGTCTGCATCTCATAGCCGCAAGCAATCTGCAGCCACGGGTGTCCCACGCCAACGCTAACTCGCCCTGGTTTAATTTCCACTCACTTTTTAGGAGGGGGCATGGCAACGTGGAAAGTGCCAAATGCAAAGAGTCCCATATCCCCAAGTTGTCTCTCTTTTCGACTGCAGGACTGGCATCTAGACCCCCAAATCACTTTGTGTCCCTTGAAGTGGGAGAATTGAGAAACTACACATAAAAATGGACACCGAACAGGAAAACGTACAAAACCCTCAGTCCACCTATTTTGACCTAAAATTTGAAATCCACTTTGAATTCTCTTTGGGCGTCTGACAATTCCCATATAAGTGAATAACTGTATAGTAAATAAACACTTCCTGCACACTAGCAGTTCATTGGAATGGTGATGGCGAAGTCTTTGGGGCACCGTCCCCCTGGTTTGGTCGGGCGGTCCGTCTGCCACAGGTTTTGCACTTGCTGAGGAGCTGGGTGGTACTGACTGTCTCCAGAATGAAGGGAGGCTTGAAGGCAATCTGCAGGTGTCCAGGGAGCGCAGCTCTAGACTGAACTATGGACAGAAACTAGAAACAGTGTAGAAACGCCCAAAAGTATTAAACCAGGTAGAGTATGTGTATCGTACCATTAGATTCACCTTCGTGTAGATCTCAATATTTTTATCCAGGTTAAAGGGACACTCCAGACCACTAAATCACTTTAGCTTCCTAAGGGCTTTTTGTTTCAAGACTGTCTTTTATTTAATTTTTTTTCATTTTACAAAAAGTGCGGATTTCCATAGAAATTGTCACTGTTATAAATGATCTTTTTACATCCCACTGAATGTCAATCAGACAGCCGGTCCTGGTACTTCCTGGTTTGTTTAGCTGAGTGGAGATAAACGCAATTGCCCAGAGCACCTGCCTTGCAAACATTGAGCTGCATTATGAAGTCTGTGATTGGACAGCCACAGAAAGTCTGGGCGGGGTTAGAAGGGGAGGGCCTGCTAAGGCTGCAGACAAGAGATCTATAGCTATTACAAGCTGTTTTATATATACCTCAAACGAAAAAATGCATAATTACATGTATGCATGGTTTAATAGGGTATATCTACTAAACAGTGGTTTGTATTTTTTATTTTGGTAATTATTTTATTGACCTTGGAAAAATGAAAGGATGAGATGATCCTGTGGGGAATCCAACCAGTGGGCCTGAGAAACTGACATTCAGTACTTTGAAGCTCACCTACCCTTGGCTGCTGATGTACCTACCCCTCTGTGAGTTCCCGTGGGCTCTCTGAGTGCATAAAAACAAGGCATCCCATGTTTGCACACAGTATCACAGCAGCGATAAGATAAAATGCACACATACATGTACACACCCACACATATATTTCCAGACAGGATCGTTTCACGGGGGAGTGTACTAATCTGCGCATTGGAAACGTAATAAAACATTTTTCCTAAATAGTCAAACATGAATTTGTGCTATTTTAGTATAAAACGTGTGATTCAGTTTCAATGCTCCACCAACCCCAACGATGAGTTTTACAGTATAACAGGCTCTGTAATTATGATAAGTAATTGTGATTTAGATAATGTATTTTTATTAGTAGCTTATTTTGTTAATTTAATTATGATTATAACATTTTGACGACTGCAATTCCTATTATGTCTTACCGGTAATGAGGACCTACTTCATATGGCTCCCATATTACAGAGCTATTCCTGTTCTCAGTGCTTAATAGAGGAAAGACGAGACGGGGGGACAGGGCCGGACTGGGAAAAAAAATTCGGCCCGGGCATTTTTTTTATCACAGCGGCCCACTAAGAAGGGGGCGGGGCAGAGAGGGTGTGTTTTGTCATCACTCATGACAAACACGCCCCCTCTCAAAGTGAGCATGTTGGTTCAATGCTCTTCCAGGGCAGACCATGCGCAGAGCTCTGCTGAAGAGCTCTAGCATGAGAAAAAAGCCCTGTATTTGTTCTGCACAGTGCAAGCAAATTTAATAACATGCTTGCACTGTGTTTCCTTGCAACTTGTCTCTGGTGTCTCTATAAATGGATACCAGGAGACAAAAGGGCCAGGAAAGAGTATTGTGCATGTGTTTGGAGCCTGCTTGGGGTATTGCGTGTGTGCAGAGTGAGCTGGTCGTGGTGTGGTATTGTGTAATAAGGTCGGTTTTAGTCGTGTTGTGTTTGTGGTGTAATGTAATGCATATGTGGCTAGGGGCTTTAGAGAATGTGTGTTTAGGGGATGTAGCAAGTGTGTGTATACAGGCTATAGTGTGTGTGTGTGTGTGTATAGGTGATGTAGTGTTTGTAGAGAGTGTGTGTTCAGGGAATGTAGTATGTGTTTGCTTACAAGGAATCTAGTGTGCATATAGGGGATCCAGAGTGTGTGTATGTATATATATATATATATATATATATGAGTCTTATGTGTGTTTGAAGGACCCAGACTATGTATAGGAGATATAGTGAGCGTGCGTATATAACGGATTCAGAGTGTATATAGTGATCTAGTGTGTGTATGTGTGTATATGATCCAGAGTTGGCTAAAGGATCTAGTGTGTGTCTGGAATGTAATGTGTTTAGGGGTGCAGTGTGTGTGTGAGGGGTGTTGTGTGTATGTGTATATATATATATATATATATATATATATATAGTTTATATAAATATGTTTGGAAGTATTGTGTATGTGTGTGATGCAGTGTATCGGGGGGCTGTGTGTGTATGTGCGGGGTGCAGTATGTGTGTGTGATGGATGCTGTGTGTGAGGTGTGATGTGTGTGCTGTGTGTGTGAGGGTGCTGTATGTGATTGATTTGTGTGAGGGTGCTGTGAGTGTGGGTGCTGTGTATGATGTGTGTGAGAGTGTTGTGTATGATGTGTGTGAGTGTTGAGTGTGATAGTGCTGTGTATGATGTGTGTGAGAGTGTTGTGTGTGATGTGTGTGAGTGCTGAGTGTGATAGTGCTGAGTGTGATGTGTGTGAGAGTGCTGAGTGCTGTGTGTGTGAGTGTTGTGTGTTAGAGTGCTGGGTGTGAGAGTGCTGTGTATGATGTGTGTGAAGTGTGTGAGAGTGTTGTG